GCCTTGACTTTGGCTTTCCATGTCTGTCCTAGCAAGCCCTCTTAGCAAGAATCCTGCTATATCAATCCCTCCCATTCTTGATATCTGATCAAGTTCCCTCACTCCCCACACTTGGTGTCTAAGGCCATGGCCTGCCTTTAGCAAGAATCTCCCTACCTTGATGTCTTCTTTTCATAATTTGCCATCCATTGATCCTGCTCAATCTGCTCATTGACTATAAATTCCCACTTGTCTTTGTTGTATTGAGATTTGAGCTTGGCTCTTTTCCCTAGTGCAATACTACTGAATAAAATCTGTCTTCATCGCCTTTAACTAGTGTTGGGCTCTATGTCTCTTTAATGATCTCCAAAATATTTTCCCTCTATATTCTAAAGTTCTAATCTATAGTATAATTGGAATAGCTATCCAAAGCTTACATAGAAATACATGCACACATGTCATGAACCAAGTTCCTTTTTCCTCCTAGAGAATTCTCCAAGATGGGCCTCAGGGACTATTGCAAAACACATACCTGCAGATGGTCTGCTGATGGAATGCAAATTATACCTGATAAGCTTTACAATTCAATGTTCAGATAACAGCAGCTATTCTACTTTCTAGATGCCATGAGGGCTATTTCTAAACAATCTTCAGTACAGCAGTGCATGTAGTCCTCTGAATGAAAAAGAAAATTATCTATAAACTCACATAATTAGCTAGGCGGGGGATCCCACCAGGAAAGCGATGAGGGTCTGCCTGAAGTCTGCCTTCTGAATCTCTTTGGGGAGCCATCCAACAGTCGTCGATGCAGAGGTACTCATAACCTGCATCCTTCCAGCCATCTGAGACCATGAGGTCTGCCATCTGCATGAAGAGCTGCTCACTGAAAGAGAAATTTTCATAATCACCATAATTCATTAAATGAACACTTAGGTATCTGCTATTTGTTAGGCACCTTGACATTTCACAATTTTTTGTTCAACTCAGTAATAGCTTGGTAGTAATCACAACCAATACAAGGTAAAATGAATTGTTCTTCCAAATATTCTTTTCTCTCCCATGCTCCATTAATACTTCTGCCCTAAAAACCCCAAACAGTTAAAATAGGAATGAGAAATACAGATGAAACTGAAAATATTAGAATTAAGAAGAAAGTTCAGTAGAGTAAAAAAATGTATAAAGTTAACATAATCAACAGCTTCCTTAGATACCAACAATAACCTATTTGGAGAAAAAGATCTCATTCACAAGAGCAACTGAAAAACCTAAAATACCTAGAGAAAAATTGAAGATATGTGCAGGGCCTATATGTTAAAACTATGATGCTCCTAAATGATTTGAATAAATGGGGAAACATTTTGCTCTTGGATAAGAATACTCAAGATTAAAAATAAGCTAATTCTCCCTACAATATTATACATTTAGTAAAACCCTTAACATATCCCAAAAGGGCTTTTTAAGCAACTTGGCAAAATGATTCAAAAAGCTCACCTAAAAGATTAAACACATGTACATTCTATAAAAAACAAAGGAAGTTAGTGTAGTACTATCAGCATCAGAGTACATGGATAAATGAAATTAAAGAGAAAATTCAGAAAGAGATCCTTCCACCCATCTGATACCGTGGGACTTAGTATACATTAAATGTGGCATTTCTTATAAGAGAATAAAGTTTAGATGGACTAAAGATTTAAATATTTTAAAAATCCAACCGGGCGTGGTGGCTCACGCCTGTAATCCTAGCACTTTGGGAGGCCGAGGCGGGCGGATTGCTCAAGTCAGGAGTTCCGAAACCAGCCTGAGCGAGACCCGTCTCTACCAAAAATAGAAATAAATTATTGACCAACTAAAAATACATATACAAAAAATTAGCCGGGCATGGTGGCGCATGACTGTAGTCCCAGCTACTCGGGAGGCTGAGGCAGTAGGATTGCTTGAGCCCAGGAGATTGAGGTTGCTGTGAGCCAGGCTGACGCCACGGCACTCACTCTAGCCTGGGCAACAAAGTGAGAGACTGTCTCAAAAAAAAAAAAAAAAAATCCATAAAAATACTAGTAGAGCTGGGTGCAGTGGCTCATCCTATAATCCTAGCACTTTGGGAGGCCAAGGCGGGAGGATCACTTGAGCCCAGGAATATTTTTTATTTTATAAAGACTTTTTTTTTTTTTTGAGACAGAGTCTCACTCGGTTGCCTAGGCTAGAGTGCCGTGGCATCAGCCTAGCTCACAGCAACCTCAAACTACTGGGCTCAAGCAATCCTCCTGCCTCAGCCTCCTGAGTAGCTGGGACTACAGGCATGCGCCACCAGGCCTGGCTAATTTTTTCTATATATTTTTAGCTACCAATTAATTTCTTTCTACTTTTAGTAGAGACAGGGTCTTGCTCTTCTTGCTCAGGCTGGTTTTGAACTCCTGACCTTGAGTGATCCACCCGCCTCAGCCTCCCGGAGTGCTAGGATTACAGGAGTGAGTTACCCCACCCGGCCGAGCCCAGGAGTTTGAGATTGCAGTGAGCTATGATGACACCACTGTACTCTAGCCCAGGAAACACAGCGAGACCCTGCCTAAAAAAATAAAATACTAGTAGAAAATGTAGGTGATTATATTATCTTCATGTAGGAAAGGACTTTCTCAGCTTGACCCCAAAGCCAGAAATCATAAAGAATGATGTGTTTGATTACATAAATAAGCAAATCTAGCATATATCAAGAACCACTGTATTAGCAATGATAGATCAAAAGAAGAAAAGATGTTCAACCTTGTTAGTAATCAAAGAAATGCAAAGAACACCTACCAGATTGGCAAAGTTTTAAAAGAATGACAAAAATGTAATGTTGGCCAGGGTATGGCCTGTAAATACACTATTGCTGGGAATACACATTTGTAAAACCTTTGGGAAGGTCAGTTTGACGCTTATCAAAATCAGCATACCTTTGCGCCTAGTAATTAGTCTTCTAAGAAAAGAATTAGATAAGAAACAGGTGATGGACAAAAGTTGAAGAGCCTGAATAGCTATCAACATGGAGATTGCTTAAATATGTTATGGTATATACATACAGTTTGCATTTATGAAACTTTTATTCTGTGCTGAACACTCTATTTAGAAAGGGTAATTAATTTGCCCAGTGTCATACAGCTAGAATGCCGTAGAATCTGAACCCAGGCAGGGTGCGAGAGTCTTTGCCATTAACCATGTATCACATAAACATGATTCCACTTTTTATGGAAAATAATGAAAAAAGAAATCTTTGTTTTCATTTACATAGAAAACAATTGCAAAATTGTATGTTAACATTTTAACTGATTATTTTTGGGTGATGGAATGGAGGGATCTTTATTTTCATTATACTCTTCTTTACTATTTATGTTTTTGGCAATGGCCATGCATTAGTTTTATAATTAGATACAAAAATAAGACAACCACCACTTAAAAAATAAAAGGAAAAGACAAAAAGAAATCCGTGATAGGCACAATTGTCACCCACTGTACCCCAGGGTCACAATAGACTTAGTCTGAAACTTAGAGGGCTGCCGATTTCTTCTGTGATGTCTGACCAACATCCTGAGTTTATCTGTAAAGAAAATGCATAGGAATAACTTATGGACACAGAGATGTATTGTGACTGCTGCTTTTAGAGGGGCTTCTGGACCATGGGTGAACTTATGTTTTTAACAGTATCTATCAGTGATTCTTAACCTTTTTAAAATCACAGAGCCTCGACTCCAGTAAGTCTTATGTGAAGAAAAAGAAAGAAAATTATTTAAAAATTAAATAATCAAAAAATTAATTAAAAAAAATCACAGAGCCTCCTTTGAGAATCTGAACAAAGGTAAGCATCTTCTCTCCAGAAAAATACACGTACTCACATTTGCAGATTTATACTCATTTTCTTATGGATTCCGGATTAAGAACAATTGTTCTACACGTTGAGTAGTCAGGCACTGTGCTATGTACTTTCTAAATGGGTTAACTCAGACAGCTCACCTGTTTTACATAAGAGCTATTTTACAAATCTTTCTGAGTTGGCTCCCGGAGGTAAAAAGTTATCCCAATATAGAAGTTAAGGATGTTGAGGATCAGATCGATTCAATACCTGTCTAATCCAGCCTCAACACTCCCCCAAAAGTGTAATTGTGGAAACTTCTTCCATGTCAACCTTCCAGCCTGATGCCACACTCAGGGGCGAGGGCGTGAGGGAGATCTCAGAAACTCCAGGGTCTCTCTAACTTCCTCAAGTGACAGCTAAGGAACCCGTGACCCCCAAAGGAGAAGAAATAGCACAAGTCTTAATCCCCTCCTACCCACCCCAGCTGTGCTCGCGGGTAGTGCCCGCCAGAGGCAGAGCAGAAGTTCACCAAGAAGGGTCTGAATGGAACCCGACAGGAAAAGAGAGAGAAGCAAGGGCCACTGGCTGGACTCCTACCCCAGGAAAGGTCATACGGAGAAAGTTTAGGGCCAGTCCCAAGCCGGGCCAGTTTGCTGGGGATAAAAAATCAGCAGCAGTAGGGGAGCTCTCCCCTGGGCTCAGATGTTCCCGCAGAAACCTCAAACACACGGAAAAGCAAAGGGAAGGGGGCACCCTATATCTGATACCTGATGCAGGAATCCGGCTCTTCCCGGCAGTCAAGGTTGCACATGAAGCGCTCCCAGTGCAGCCAGCCCATGGTAGGCGTCATAGCCAAGCCATTGTCCAGTGCTCTGGCCCTAGGGATGCCCCAGGGAATCAAGGCCAGGATGCAAAGCGCAAGCGCAGAGCCCAGCTGACGCTCTGTGCTCCGCAGCTGCATCGTCACTGTGATCATACAGTAAGGATTTCCGCGGGTAGCCTGGGCTTTTAAGTTTAACCTCAGGGGCGGACCAATCAACGATGAGCTATTAAATAATGACGTCATTGTTTCTCAGGCAACTGCGACGGTTATCCCCAGAGGCAGACCAATGATCAGTCACGTAAGACGTACCACAAACCAATCACATTCTTTCTTTTTTGATATTGGCCCGCCTTATTTCCATACCAGAAGGAAGTGCAGCACCTTAGTGATCCGGAGTTTAAACCGAGAGTCACTCACGTGACCTAGATCTCACATGACGTAGGTGCTCACGTGATCACTCGCTTACGTGAGCAGAAGTAGTTCTGGTCGTCGTCTACCGTCTCGCTATAACCGTTTGAGTGAAGAAGGAGGAAAATTACCCGGTATCGTTAGAGGTTGGTGTGTGGGTGGGAACTGGGGACCTGGGGGTGGTGATGATGAAGACCAAAGCGGGGTCCAGGGGCCGCCTCCGCCTTTTTCGTTCTCTGCTTTCCCCTCCCCCCGCTCTCCCTCCCTCCTCCCCCATTTCAGTGCCGGGAAGCCGCCTTTGCTGCGCCTGGTGGGGAAATGGTGGACGTTCGTGACTGTGTATGTGTTTTTGCATATCTCTCTGTCTGGGCCGGTCTCGGAGGACCCCTAAAAGTGACCGTAAGGTGAAAAACGTTTAAAAACCACGGCCCTGAGTTAGGAAAAACAGATATTGAGACCAGTGGTCTGAGTGCTGGTCCATCCATTCAGGCACTCAGTCTCCACTGCTTGATTGTTTGTCTGTAGGAGCAGGCCCCAAGTGAATTATCTCTGTGGAGTCACATTTAAGCAAATGTTGTGTGCGTGACAGAGACGCCCAATAAATGATTTTACTGAATTGAGTATTTGGATAACGTTTATTTTTCTGTTTATAACAATCTACATGTTCAATTTCGAACATTTAAAAAATAACAATATACTATAAATTTTTAAAATACACGTAATTCACCACCCAGAGATAACTATTCAACTTTATGTCGTTACAGTTGTAAAAAAGTATTTGTATAACACACATATAAATACACAAATTCTTAACTCACAAATAGAGTTCTGGTTTCTACTTCGGGCATCAGTCCTGGTGGCTTTCCCAGGAAATGCAGTAAGGAAGCAGATCCTCTCTGCCACTACAGAGGGGCTGTTAAGGCATAGAATGCAGCAGGAATATTAAATGGGATGGGTCATCCTAGGGGTAAGGCAGGTGAAAAAACAGTCCGTTAGTCTCATTGAGACCTTAGGATGGTTTATGGGAAGACTGTTATCACTACAGATGGAGTGTGCCAGGCACATAATAGGCAATTAGTGAATGTTTGTTAAATTGAATCCTCATTGTAGTTTGATGGCAGTTTTTACACTTTGTACTTGCTTTCCAAGAGGCCCAGTGTTCCAGATCATGTCAGGTAAACTACCCACATACAAAATTAGAAAATTTTATAAAATGTGCTATACCAAATCTCAGAAAAGCAAGCATATTTTTAATTTGTTTTATGTTACTTTTTCTTGCTGAAGTCAAATTAATTATTCTTTCTGTAGAAAATTAAGACTGCACAAAAAATTGGACAAAAATGAAATGGAAAAAGCCATAAACCTACCATTCAGAATAACCACTATTAAATTTTCTAACATGTTTTTTTTTTTTTCGTTTCTCCACTTTTGAAGGACAACTTTTTTTGTTGTTCCAATACAGTGAGTTTGAAGAATTAAAACTGTGTAGAAGTATACAGGGTAAAAAGTGAAAATCCCACTTCACTCCCCCTACCCTCCAGTTCTTCTTTTCTTACAAACAAGTTTGTTTCCAGATCTTTTATGTATTTACATATATATGTGCATGCATGCTTATATTTTAGTGTAAGTGGGATCATACTATGTATATTCTTTCATTTAATATATTTTGGAGATCTTTCTAGGTCAGAGTAGATCTTTAAACACCTTCATAGCATTCCATATTAAGGATAAAGTATAATTCATTCAGCCATCCCTCTATTGATAACTGTTTAGGTTTCTAATTTTCTGCCATTACTGACAGTACTGCAAGGAACATTTTTAAGTATTTCTGTTGACCAGATACCTGGAAGAAATTCTAGCAGTGTCAAAGAGTATGTGAACATATATTTTTTACGTAGTTGAGATTATAAAGTAGCTGTGATCTTGGGTTGGCTAAGATACCATAAGTAATTTCTCATGTTATTAAATATTTTTACAACTTTAAAAATTAAAAATGTAATATTCCATTTTTAAGAAATACTTTTCAAAGAATATGTACCTCCATAAATCTTTGAATTTTAGATCATCTCCTTAGGGCACATAACCTGTTAAAAGGTGCTATACATATCACCAAATTGCTTGCCATTAATTTTCACTCCTCTGGTAGTGTATTAGTTTGTGAACCCTGAACAGTACTGACTTACTGTTTAATTTCCACCATCTTGACGGGTGAAAAATGGTGTGAGTTCTGGTTTTAACTTGCATTTTCCAATGATTGATGAGGTTTGAACATTTCCCAGACTCATCTCCTGTATCCTAAACCTGTATTCCCACATGCTTAAACCGTTACCAAGTCCTGCAGATTCCTTTTTTTGATATGTGTAGATCATATATTCCCTCTTTTACTGATGTTTCCTTAAATGAATCCTTTAACATATCTCTAAGAGACAGGTTCTGACTAATCTTCCTAGTTTTACCTCGACCCCCTTCTGTTTGAGTGCCACACGGTTGCCATGGTGATCTGTCTGCAAGGGTTCTGATGAAGTCACTCCCCTCATTCTAGGCCTTTAGGATCTGCTCTCTACTTTGCCAGCCTTATCTCTTGAGCTTTGTCCCCTCCTATTTATGTTCCATCATAATTTAAAAAATGTGTTTATATATCCCTGTGTGGGTTAGTCTGTTTCATTTAACCATTCTGCTTCCAACAGATAGAATTGACCAACTAGTCCCTTCTTGATACTATGATTATATCCTATAAAGAATTCCTTTATAGCAGGTATAATGTATGTTTGCACTTACATCTTTTAGTAAAGATATACAGTGCCCCTGTGGGACCATAAGCCCTTTGTGACCTTATTTATTCTTGTATGCCAGAGCTGAATACTGGACCTGGCAACTCAAAAATGTTTGCAAAATGAATGCATGAATTCCCAATAATGTCTTTTTTTATTTATCTTTTAGGCCTAAATAGTTCCCTGATTTTATTGATTTGCATGAGTTCTTTACATAATAAGCATATTAAGGCCGGGCGTGGTGGCTCATGCCTGTAATCCTAGCACTCTGGGAGGCTGAGGCGGGCGGATTGCTCAAGGTCAGGAGTTCGAAACCAGCCTGAGCAAGAGCAAGACCCCGTCACTACTATAAATAGAAAGAAATTAATTGGCCAAATAATATATAGAGAAAAAATTAGCCAGGCATGGTGGCACATGCCTGTAGTCCCAGCTACTCGGGAGGCTGAGGCAGTAGGATTGCTTGAGCCCAGGAGTTTGAGGTTGCTGTGAGCTAGGCTGATGCCATGGCACTCACTCTAGCCTGCGCAACAAAGCGAGACTCTGTCTAAAAAAAAATAAATAAATAAGCATATTAATGTGTTTTATTTTACCTTTTAATTGTTTAATCTTTTGATCTAATGAAGTTTTTTACTTTATAGAATCAGGTATAGGCATCTTTTATTTGTTGACATCATCCACTGATTTTCTTACTGATATATATATTTTTTTTTTTTCTTTTTTTTTTTTGGAAACAGAGTCTTGCTCTGTTGCCCCCAGATAGAGTGAAGTGGGGTGATCATAGCTCACTGCAACCTCAAACTTCTGGGCTGAAGTGATTCTCCCACCTCAGTGCTCCAACTATACAGATTCATGCCACCATGCCCAGCTAATTTTTTCTGTCATTAGTAGAAATGAGGTCTGGTTCTTGCTCAGGCTGGCCTCAAACTTCTGACCTTAAGCAGTCCTCCTGCCTTGGTCTCCCAGGGTGCTAGGATTGCAGGTGTGAGCCACCATGCCTGGCCTTCTTGTTGTTGATTTTTTAAGCCTTTTTATTTTCCCACTATGATGTTAAGACACAATTAGTGCAGAAAACTTAGAACATACAGAGAGATCCAAAGAAGAAAAATTCCCTGAAATAAAAAGCTCCCATAATCTTACTATCAGAAATAACCACCGTTAATGGCACTTGACACATAATAAGCATTGAATAAATAGTTGATGAATAAATGAATGAGTTAAAAATTTGGTACAGTCTTTTTATTTATACAGATGTCTTACAAAAAAAGCTATTGGCATAATTGAGTTTTGTATTAATAGTTTGCTTTTTTACTATATTGTGAATGTTTTTCCATAACAGGAGTCCTCTAATTTTTTTTTTCAGCCACACCGTAATCGCATTGAGCCAAGCTTGCCATCCAGAGCCCACCAGTCACCATGATGCTGAGCACAGAAGGCAGGGAGGGGTTCGTGGTGAAGGTCAGGGGCCTGCCCTGGTCCTGCTCAGCTGATGAAGTGATGCGCTTCTTCTCTGATTGCAAAATCCAAAATGGCACATCAGGTATTCGTTTCATCTACACCAGAGAAGGCAGACCGAGTGGTGAAGCATTTGTTGAACTTGAATCCGAAGATGAAGTGAAATTGGCTTTGAAGAAGGACAGAGAAACCATGGGACACAGATACGTTGAAGTATTCAAGTCCAACAGTGTTGAAATGGATTGGGTGTTGAAGCATACAGGTCCGAATAGTCCTGATACTGCCAATGATGGTTTCGTCCGGCTTAGAGGACTCCCATTTGGCTGTAGCAAGGAAGAAATTGTTCAGTTCTTTTCAGGGTTGGAAATTGTGCCAAATGGGATGACACTGCCAGTGGACTTTCAGGGGAGGAGCACTGGGGAGGCTTTTGTGCAGTTTGCTTCACAGGAGATAGCTGAGAAGGCTTTAAAGAAACACAAGGAAAGAATAGGGCACAGGTACATTGAAATCTTCAAGAGTAGCCGAGCTGAAGTCCGAACCCACTATGATCCCCCTCGAAAGCTCATGGCTATGCAGCGGCCAGGTCCCTATGATAGGCCAGGGGCTGGCAGAGGGTATAATAGCATTGGTAGAGGGGCTGGGTTTGAAAGGATGAGGCGAGGTGCCTATGGTGGAGGGTATGGAGGCTATGATGACTATGGTGGCTATAATGATGGATATGGCTTTGGGTCTGATAGATTTGGAAGAGACCTCAATTACTGTTTTTCAGGAATGTCTGATCATAGATATGGAGATGGTGGGTCCAGTTTCCAGAGCACCACAGGGCACTGTGTACACATGAGGGGGTTACCTTACAGAGCCACTGAGAATGATATTTATAATTTCTTCTCACCTCTTAACCCCATGAGAGTACACATTGAAATTGGACCCGATGGCAGAGTTACTGGTGAGGCAGATGTTGAATTTGCTACTCATGAAGATGCCGTGGCAGCTATGGCAAAAGACAAAGCTAATATGCAGCACAGATATGTGGAGCTCTTCTTAAATTCTACTGCAGGAACAAGTGGAGGGGCTTATGATCACAGCTATGTAGAACTCTTTTTGAATTCTACAGCAGGGGCAAGTGGTGGTGCTTATGGTAGCCAAATGATGGGAGGGATGGGCTTATCCAACCAGTCTAGTTATGGGGGTCCTGCTAGCCAGCAGCTGAGTGGTGGTTATGGAGGTGGTTATGGAGGTCAGAGCAGTATGAGTGGATATGACCAAGTTCTGCAGGAAAACTCCAGTGACTATCAGTCAAACCTTGCTTAGGTAGAGAAGGAGTACTAAACAGCTACTACAGAAATAAAAGCTGTGCATTTATGGGAGTTGAATAGAATGGGAGGGATGTCTAGTATATCCAGTATGATTGGTATAAATGGGAAATATAGTTGATTCTGATCACTCTTGGTCAACTCTTTTCTTTCTTTCTTTCTTTCTTTCTTTCTTTCTTTCTTTCTTTCTTTCTTTCTTTCTTTCTTTCTTTCTTTTTTAAGAAAACAAACAAAAATTAAGTTTAACAGTTTTGCATTACAGGCTTGTGATTCATGCTTACTGTAAAGTGGAAGTCAAGATTGTTTTAAAACTTCAAGCTCAGTAATTTTGAACACTGAAACATTCATTTAGGACATAATAACAAAGTTCAGTATTGACCATAACTGTTAAAACAATTTTCAGCTTTCCTCAACTTAGTTATGTTGTAGAAGTGTACCTAAGCAGTAAGCGTATTTAGGTTAAAGCAGTTTCACTTATGTTAAATGTTGCTCTTATACCACAATACATTGAAAACTTCGGATGCATGTTGAAAAACATGCTTTTCTGTAAAACTAAAATATAGGAGCTGTGTCTACGATTCAAAGTGAAAACATTTGGCATGTTTGTTAATTCTAGCTTTTTGGTTTAATATCCTGTAAGGCACGTGAGTGTACACTTTTACTTTTTTTTTTTTTTTTTTAAAGATCTGGGACAATTTTGAGATGTAATACCAATACTTTAGGAGTTTGGTCATGTCATTTGTATGCAATTCTGAGGCTTTGATTTAAATCCTTCCTTGTATTGTGATTTCCATTTAGATGTATTGTACTAAGTGAAACTTGTTAAATAAATCTTCCTTTTAAAAACTGGAAAAATAATCTTGTATGGTTTTTATTACTACATTCTATCATATGGGCACACTGTAATTGACTTTATAGTTCCCTGTTATTGAAATTTTTAATTTTTAAATGATAAAACATATTAGCATCTTTATATATATATATATATTGTTGATATACCATTAATTATTTCTAAGATATATCCTTAGATACACATTTTTAAGGCTTTTGATTTGCCTTACCAGAATAGTTATGGTTCTTTGTCTTTCCTTTGGAGTGCATGTTATTCCCCATACCTTCCTTAATGATGCATTTTATTTTTTTTTGTATATTTGCCAGTTTGTTAGTTGAGAAATTATATCTCACTGCTATTTTAATTTGTTTCTTTGATTAATATTAAGGTTGAACATTTTCCTCTTGTTTTTAAACTTCCTATCATGTTCACAGTACAATTGAGCTACTTCTGGAGACTTTGTACTTTGCCAAGACAATATTCTCCAAAATCCAAAGAAGTACAAATAAATAATCTTTTTTATTTATTTAACCACAAACTAGAAGATCTAAGGTACTTTTGTATGTTAAAAAGGGAGTAGGCTTACAATTATGTGTCAAAAACAAAATACAACTTACTAAAAAAGAAGTAGGCTTATAGAAATAATTGCCTATTCCATGAGATCATTATTAATAGAGCCTCTAAATACCCTCTCAGGTTTTTCAAGGCATCTAAAGCTTGTTTAAACCAGCGGTTCTGAAACTTTAGTGTGCATCAGAATCACTGCAGGGGTTAAGACATTGATTGCTGGGCCCCATCCCTGGAATTTCTGATTACGTACTTCTGGGACGATGTCCAAGAATGTGCTAATGCTGCTTGGCCTGAAGACCATGTTTAGACCCATCACAGTTCTCCAATCACTAAAGGTCTATTTAAACCTAAAATGGCAACTTTAAGGAGCAGCTTCCTTTATGATCCCTGATTGCCTCCCCTTTGTTCCTGTAACATGTAGTTTAAATTATTTTTCTTCTTTTTTTCTTTTTCTTTATTTTGAGACAGGGCCTCACTCTGTCGCCTGGGCTGGAGTGCAGTGACATTATCATAGCTCACTGTAACCTCAAACTCCTGGCTTCAAGCGATCCTCCCACTTCAGACTTTCAGAGTACTAGGATTACAGGTGTGATCCACCTAAAATTTCTATTAAATTACAAACCAGATATGATTATTTACAATACCTTACACCTCCTATGTGACTCTGAGTTCCTGTGGTATCTCCATAGTTGGCAGCAGTGGTACCTTATATTTCTGTCTAGATCACGGTGGTTAAGATCGCAAGGATTTTCAGTCCTGGACGCTCTAGGGTTAGTACCAGCTGTACCTGAACCACAGATCTCTTTGTAGATCTGACTACCCTGGAACTGGATTGTTATATTTGGGCTATTTAGGGCTTCGGGCCCCATAGTACTATCCTGACATAGGAGGCAAATACCAAGTTGGTATTAGTTGACTCCATTTCACTCAGGGACGGTCTTTGTTGATCATCATTTCTAGAAAACTATTGGAACTAAAGATGCAGTGAGAGGTGTTTTGAGATTTTTTTGATGACTTCTAATTTCTATCACAGCTGCCAGGATAGCAAGAAATCCATTTTGACTCTTATGTCACGTTGAGCCAGTCATTATTACCTTGCCCTCCTTAAGCCCTTCAGGAAGCCTTTCTCGGAGGATAAACTAATAGTAGGTGTTTTTGCTTTCCCAGGCCGCTCAGTTAATTTTCTAGAAGTTTCTCTAAGTCTGAGGAAGGATCTCCAGTAGCCGCTAGATGTCACTAAATCTCAGGAAACCACACACTGATCCCTGTTATCGTGGGTGTTTGCTTTCTCATTGCTGGATTAAGAATACTCAAGAGGGCTCTGGGAAGCAATCAAAGAATAGAGAACTTAGAGGTCAGTGGTTAGCACTAGAGGTGTGCAAAGGGACAGCAGTACCTGTTAGGGCAACAGTACACAACCCCCACCAGTGCAGCCACAATAATCCTGGTCTAAGAGGGTCTCCACAGATGGCTTGGGGCAGTAGTTCTCTGAGTGCAGCTCCTGGTGGTATCTGCATGATCTGGGACCTTGTTAGAAATGCAAATTCTCCACACCCCTCCCCCCAGGCCACCTGAATCATAAACCCCGGGAATGGGGCCCAACAAGCTGTGTTTCCACAAGTGCTCAGGGTAGTTCTGCTGCAGGGAAGCACTGGCAGAAGCATGGATTCCGTCATTCACCCATTTATTCCTGCATCCATTCATCCAACCCTAAAGGAGGTAACCAAAACAGAGACAATCCTGTGTGTAAGCATGGCACATCTTCTCTGCCTCTCCTCCCAGCAAATTGATATGAAAATGCATTGCAAATTCATTTACAGATCAAGCTTTTTCCATCAGGGAGAACTCCTTAGGCTGTCAGTAAGAATGAAGATTTTTCTAAAATAGGCCTCAAGGGTTATTGCAAAACATAGCTGCTGATGGAATGAAATTCCAGGCTGGGAGTGTCGCAAGAGCCTTTTTTACTACCTGCTCCCACACTGACTTGTGAATGCAAAGCAGGCACGTCCATGGGTTCACCAGGTTAGCGCGGTGCAGGACTCCGGGGGAGAGGTGACAGGTTATGTAGTGCCTGCGCCCACCCTGTCCCCCCCCCACCCTGTACAGACAGATAAACAACACACATCGCTCCAGCCCTCTGATAGAGAACCTTAGACTCCTGAAAAAAGAGATGGGTTCTAAGAGACAATATTTTAGAATCACTGTAATTTATTCAGTAATTATTTTCTGAACCATTTACCTATTCTAACGCTCTGTCTGACCTATACATTCGTTAGGACAACTCCCTGCACAATACGAAGACCCTTTCCCAGGATCATTTTCCTCCCTCCCTCCGTGCCTCCCTCCCTCTTCCTGCTCCCCCCTCCTTTGCACAGGTCATGTTTCTCATATACAAGATGTCATTAAGTGTCACTGCCATCCCCACTTTAGAGATGAGTAAACTGAGTCTCAGGGAGGGCGAGAATCAACTTTGCCTTGGGAAAGGAAACAGGAGGCTGACTGCACGGGAGGAGGAAAAGAGTTCAGGCGAAGGAAAGAAGAGGACATAGTTTTGATCTGCATGGGGTGGTGTAAGGGTAGCTGTGCCCTGGGACCGGTGGGGTGACGGTGGCGGTAACCAGCGCTGGGACCAGCTCCTGCGGTCTGGCTCTCAGGCCGACAAGGAGGCGGGGTGGGGTGGGGAAGGGCGAGGTAGGGGGCCCTCAGGAGGGCGGAGAGAGAGTTTGGTAAGAATCCACCCGCCATCTCCCCTCCCGCTTTCCGGAGACCCTCAAACACGTGTCTGTCTCCCCGCCCCGTATATTCGTTTCAAGGAAAGGGACTAGGAAGAGGCGGCCGGGAAATGGCGGCCGCGGCGCAGAAGGGCTGGCCCGGGAGCAGCAGAGGGGGAGTGGCCCGCGTGGCGCATGGCGGGCGGGAGGTGGCGAGGATGAGGAAGAGGAGCCTGGAGTCCCCAAGCTCTGAGAGGGAGACGATCACTTTGCCTAACCGCGGCCGAGCATCTGGAAAGGCCTGGGAACCTCGTTCGCCTGTCCAGGCCCCTCTCACTCCTTTCGGTCCCCTTAGGCTCCGGGGTGGGGGTGGGGGCGGGGGACACAGGCCGAACCGTGGGACTGGCTAAAAGAAGGAACAGCCGTGGGCCTCCCTCGCGCTCTGCCTGTGCCAGGCGCACCCCTCCATGAGTTGACTCGGGCCAGTCCCGGGGGCACCCTGCTTCTCAGGCTGGGTGGCGCAGCCGGGGGCTCTCTCAGCCCTGGGGCAGCCCAGGGAGCGGGTGGGAGGGGGCACCACGGCCACCTCGCCGGGTATGGGGAGCTGCTCAGCGAGGAGCCGCTTTTCCTTACTCAGAGCCCCTTTGCTTGGCACACAGTAGGCGTTCAATACAGGTTTATTTTCAGTTGAGTATTGATTGAACTCTTATGCCTTTTTTTTTTTTTTTTGAGACAGAGTCTCACTCTTGCCCGGGCTAGAGTCCTGTGGAGTCAGCCTAGCTCACAGCAACCTCAAACTCCTGGGCTCAAGCAATCCTCCTGCCTCAGCCTCCTGAGTAGCTGGGACTACTCCGGAGTAGGTGTATGTCACCATGCCCGGCTATATTTATTTATTTACTTATTTTTAGTTGTCCAGCTAATTTTTTCTAATTTTAGTTGCCCAGCTAATGTTTTTTTTTTTTTTTTCCTCCTATTTTTAGTAGAGACGGGGTCTCGCTCTTGCTGGTCTCGAACCCCTGAGCTCAAGCGGTCCTCCTGCCTCAGCCTCCTGAGCTGG